TCTTTCTCTCTTGTAGGATTTTGATAAATTCGCCAAACTCTGATATAAGATTTCTACTCCGGAGAAATTCCAAAAACTCAAAATCTTTGAACTATCTGTATATATACTACGCCATCGCGTGTTAAAAAATATCTAGAGTAGAGATTTAATATGTTACTGCTCGCTAAGGTGACGAGATAGACTGCGGAAATTGGGCGGCACGAATTAATTCAGCACAATCTCCCTCAGCTTAACAGTTTTATTTTGCATCTCTGTATTCCAAGTCTACTATGTAGACAGATCTGTCCAATTTGAGCTCCGAAGTCAAAACGCAAAGTCATCGACGTAAAAAAATTTAATGTAAGATTTTAGAAACTATAAAGTGGTGATAAGCGTCACTTAGATGCATATCAACATTTTACAGTCTCCGAAATCTTACCCGCATTGAATTTTTTTGTGTCGATAGCTTTGCATTTTGGCTCAAATTAGACAGGCCTGATGTAGAACGGACACACGGCTCCTACGCTGCTGCGTGTAAATAAATGGGGAAAAGTGGCATTCGGGCCTTGATTACACCTGTATTTGGTCACGTGAATTACTTAGAGCACCAACAGCAGTGAGAATTTCATATAATGTTCAGTAGCTGGCCATAAAGTGCTTATTATGAGATCTTAATTGCGTTGATTGCACCATCAGTCTAGTTCTTCACGTAAATTATGTAGAGCGCGATAACGATAACGATCTCATACAATAATCGGTAATCGGCCATAAAATTATTACAAGAGAGATCTTTTATCTATTAATAACATTTATTAATTAACGAAATTAACTTTAAACCGATTTTTAATAAAAAGAATTTTCTGATTAAAGTTATAATTTATTGACTTACGATAAAAGAAATTAATTTACGTTACAAATTGATCAAAAGCACAATAAATATTTTCTCGTACTGGGCATTCTATGGTCTTTCTATTAATGTTCAATGGATTTCTGCTCGATATCTCGAATGGTAGTCAATTTGCAGATGAGCGTTGCGCGATCTAACGGAGATTGTATTTTGCAGAGCCGCGTAAGGTCTTGCCCATCCTTAAGACCGACGAACCCGTTTGTCCAGAGGGAAAATTGTCGTGCGGTAACGGCGAGTGCGTCGACAAGGAGCTCTTCTGTAATGGCAAACCTGACTGCAAGGACGAGTCCGATGAGAACGCCTGCAGTAAGTTTTGCAATGTACTACCGACTACGTTCGCCTACCGATGTTAACATGAGCCGATCCCAGATTTGGATTATAATCTCCTTGCGTAAAAATATATAGAAACGTCGAACATAATCGTTAAAGTATCAAAGTAGATGCATAAGAATGTCTTTGGTAACTTTAGTATTGAAACAGTTTGGCATATAGCTGAAAAAATATATATATTTCATCAAATACGAAGAAGAATGCTATCACGGTCACACACACACACACACACACACACACACACAAAGTTAGATGTTTCAAATAATACAATATACATTCATTTTAAATGAATTTTATTTCAGATAAGATTGAGCGTCGATAACTTTCAGATTTTCAACACAATTAATCTGAAATGCTACTAATCTCCCCTAAATTAAAAAAACTGCAAAAAAACTTATATATATATATATATTTCAATATTTGCTACAAGACTCTTTCTCCAGTGGCTCTTTAAATTAATTCGATTTAAGTAAAGAAATTCCTTTAATATTTTTAAAATCAACGTATTATTAGAAATATATTTAATTTATAGCCGTGGAAACCGATCCCAACCGCGCTCCAGATTGCGATCCCACGCAATGCGTCTTACCTGACTGCTACTGTTCGGCCGATGGCACCCGTATACCCGGCAACATCGATCCCCAGCAAGTGCCGCAGATGATCACAATCACTTTCAACGGCGCTGTAAATGTGGACAATATCGATCTCTATGAGGAGATCTTTAACGGGCAACGTCAGAATCCGAACGGCTGCCAGATCCGCGGTACATTCTTCGTTTCTCACAAGTACACCAACTATTCGGCGGTACAGGATCTTCATCGACGCGGACATGAAATCGCGGTATTTTCATTGACGCACAAGGAAGATCCGCAATATTGGAGCCAGGGTACGTACGACGACTGGTTGGCAGAGATGGCTGGTGCCAGGCTGATCATCGAGCGTTTCGCCAACATCACCGATGGCTCTATCATCGGTGTGCGGGCCCCTTACCTCAGAGTAGGTGGTAACAAACAGTTCGAGATGATGGCTGATCAGTTCTTCGTATATGACGCCTCCATCACTGCGTCTCTGGGACGTGTGCCAATTTGGCCGTACACATTGTACTTCAGAATGCCTCACAGGTGCAACGGCAACGGTGGCAACTGCCCGTCGAGGTCGCATCCAGTTTGGGAGATGGTGATGAACGAGCTGGACCGTAGAGATGATCCTACCTTCGATGAGTCTTTGCCAGGTTGTCACATGGTTGACTCCTGCTCCAACATCCAGACTGGCGAGCAGTTTGCTCGTCTGCTCAGACACAACTTTAACAGGCATTTCAATAGCAACAGAGCGCCGCTCGGTTTGCACTTCCATGCGTCCTGGTTGAAGAGTAAGAAAGAATATAAGGAAGAGCTAATCAAGTTCATCGAGGAAATGATCGCCAGGAGCGACGTGTACTTCGTCACCATGGTTCAGGTGAGAGATCGAGCTTGTATTTTTTGCAGAGAGAGAGAGAGAGAGAGAGAGAGAACGGTTTTGCGGAAGCATCTAAAAATTTAGATAAATACAAATCTGAAAATAATTTTGTCGGATTATAAAAGTAATTATGTAAAGCTAGTTGCATTTCGAAAAAAATTATATTAAAAATTGGATAAAATAAGTTATTTCATACATATGTGTAACATGGCGAACAAAAATGTCATAAAGGTTCTCTATGAGCACAAGCCTTTGATACATTATAATTAAAAAAAATCTATTATTAGATAATTCATTATTAGGTAATTCATTTTTCAATCATTTCACTGAAACTTTTAGTTTTCCACTATTTTATAATATTATTTCATAATTATTAATTAAGTGCAAGATCTATATTCCACACGATACACTTGATCTGAGAAACAACCTAGAGCATCTTCTGAAAGTCTTTAGGATATTTCTTGGAAATCTGTGCTGTATAAGTTATTTTCAAATATCTTTACTTTGCTAAATTTTTAGATACTTCGCAAATTGTCCGTGTAATAATCATTAATGTATTCATACATTAAAGAGTAGAAGTTTTAAATCTCGTTTGTTCTCTAGGTAATTAAATGGATGCAGCAGCCTACTGAGCTCTCAGCGCTCAGAGATTTCCAGGACTGGAAGGAGACCTGTGACGAGAAGGGTTTACCCTATTGCTCGTTGCCCAACGCTTGCCCTTTAACGACCAGAGAGTTACCCGGAGAGACTCTGCGTCTCTTCACCTGCATGGAGTGCCCCAATAACTATCCATGGTTGTTGGATCCGACCGGCGACGGCTTCTCCGCGAGAAAGTGATCCATCATCCGCGAAACGAACGACGCGTCGACGCGTCAGCCGATCGCGCGATCGGATTATCAGAGATCGATCATTTTTCCGGCAAGTCCGGGAATCACGTCGGATAAGACGTGGTAATTGATGGCGAACCGATCGAAACGAGGACGCGGCTCTGAAAGATACAGAGAAAGCAATCGGGCGATGGGCGCGTGGAGGCGCGAAATTTCGAATGAGATCCCGGAATCGTCTTATCACGATTAGAAAGTGTCACCTTGGCCACTTGAAGATCTGGCCATAACACTAATATTAATGTAGAACGAAGTCTCTGCTTTCGCAAGGGGAAAATACGTACCGCGCCCGGTTTCTCTTCCGCGACTCGACTATAATTATTATTATTTATGTAAATTAAGATCGGTAAAACGCACATCGCCGCATACGGTCGCGAGGACTGATCGATTTCTCGTGGGGAAACGCCATCGCGTATGATCGTGGGGAAAAAGCTCGTCTCCTTCCTGCCCGCGTGACAAGAGCGGCGAGCCTGCACGTCTAGAGACGTGACTCTCGAAAATTGATGCTCGACGAGAATGAGACAATCCCGGAGACTTCCCACTTGTACATAATCACCGGATCCTTGCCCTCCCAATTCTCGTCCTCGTTGCTTTCTAGAGACATTTATAGGCGGAACGATAACGAAGCCTCGCGGCCGATGAAGCGAAAGATGAAAAGTTGAATATACCATTCTGTGCCTCTCTGAACATGTACTCTGTAGAATTTAAGCGACGCGCGACATTCTAAGTATATAATTTTTAGTGTCCTTATAATACATATTTTCGAATAAAAACTGTATGTACAAAAATTAGCATGTATATTACATACCAATTCCCGCAATCAATACATAATATATTTCATAATATTTATAAAACAATAATAATAAATTAGATAATAAAGTTAATTAGATTTTTAAAAATCTTAATATAAAAGACATCACAGCTTTAGAGTTTCAAGAAATCAAATTTATATATAATTACAGTTATAAATAATTACATAATATTGCACAAAATTTATAACTTTAATCTAATTCTGTAATATCATATAATTCAATATATATCATTATTAAAATTACACAAATTTAAATTTAATTAATTAGTATCTATCAATTTAAATATCTATTATAACATTAAAATTTTGTTTAGTCATATCACATGATATTTAATTCTGCAAGATTGTAAAAATTAATTCTGCGTTTTAAGATATTATATAGTTTTATCTTTTGAACCGCTTCTTTAATCGTCGCTATATTCTTGAGAGATATTATATCTAGCTTCGAGATATTCTTCCTTTTAGGGATTATCTTCCAAGTATTAAACTTTCTCACACCACGATAAGGTGTTACTTAAAAGGAGTCTTGTTAAATTAGTTAAAACCTTGTTAAATTAGTTAAAAAAGTACTTAACATTACTTTTAAAAATTTGGAAAGTATATTGCTGCTATGAAATATTTAATGTACTAAAATGATTATCGGTTTTTTATTTTATTCTTTTTAAAAAATATTATTTTGTAACCTTTTATTATTAATACTTTTCTCAAATACGTAGTTCTTTATTATTAATTAGCATCTTTTAAGTGATGCTATTTTTATTTAAAAAAATATATTTTTAGCGTTATTTATACTTTTAATAAATGTTTCCAGGCACTTATTAATATTATTTTATTGCGATTTCTTTTTATATCTCACAATACAGTATTTTAGTCCTTGTCTTACTATAATACATACAAAAAGAATGTACATTTAAAAATAGGAACATATATTTATAATGAATACATGTCTCTATAAAAGGCAAAATGCAAAAAATCCATTTTGCAAATCATTATATGTCATTTTTTAGTTAAAGCATTTAAAAAATCTTGCGCGCATGCACGATACCAGAGAGAAACCTGAAAGGGGCCATGCCGACCTTTTTCCTGTTACCGTCGAAATCGCTCATACACTACCGCCAGTACATCTATTTTCAGTTTGGGAACTACGTGACTACATACATTTTCTGACACTATCGATAAAATCGTATCGTTGAAAATAGACATGGTTCGTCTCTGTAATACACACACAC